AAGAGAGAGAGAGAGAGAATTTTTAATATTTATTTTTTAGTTCTCGGCGGACACAACATCTTTGTTGGTATGTGGTGCTGAGGATCGAACCCGGGCCGCACGCATGCCAGGCGAGCGCGCTACCACTTGAGCCACATCCCCATCCCTTCATTTTTAAATTGTGTTTTTGCATTACTGGGAGTGGAAGCCAAGGACACTTTACCATTAAGCTATATCCTAAATCCTTTCAAATTTTTAAGACAGGGTCTTGCTAAATGACTGAGGCTGACTTCCTTATCCTTTCTTTTCTACAAAGAACCCAATACTTTTAGAGATACACTTTTAAAGAGTAATGCAAGCACACTGGGCATGGTGGTACATGTCTGTAATCCCAGACACTGCGGAGAATGAAGCAGAAGATCACAAGATTAAGGCCAGCCTCAGCCACTTAAAAAAACCATATCTCCAAAAAAAAAAAAAAAAAGGTTGGGGATATAGCTCAATGGTACAGTGATCCTGGACTTAATGCCCAGTACAAAAAAATAAAATTGATAATGGAAAAAATTTTAATTTCCATTTTTCTATCTTCAGTAATTTACCTATATATAAAAAAACTAACAATAATAACACCTTTTAAAAATAATTACATTGCACTAGGAAATAAAATACATTTTCGAATCAGAATTGCTATACAACAAATATAGTTTTGTTTACTTCATTCTCTCTCAAATATAATCTCAACATAGCTACACATACATATAAGTAAATACTGAATGGTCCTACTTTACCCTTCTCCACAATCTAAAACAGAAATTCCTGTGTCTTGTATCAAAATCATTCCACCTCACAAAATCTACACTCTACGCATGATAAGTTCAATAGCTACCTATTGATTGGTTAATTCAAGCAAGCATTTTAAAATCATGATTCTTAGCCAGATCCTAACCACTATGTAAACTCATAATGAAATTTTTGTGGATATAGGATTCCTTTGAATAATGCTGAACTACTTACTTCCTTTCCAACAAAAATGATAAAATCATGTATCTTTTATCTATAAAACGTATTCTATGTACCCCAAACAACTTTTTCTACATAAAAAGGTTCTGTTTGGGGGCTGGTTTTAGCCTAATGGTACTGAGTGTGCTTGCCTGGCATGTGTGAGGCACTGGGTTCGRTCCTCAGCAACATTAAAAAATAATAAAATAAAGGTATATATTTAAAAAAAAAAAGGTTTGTTTTCTTTTGTAGTTCTCAGGATAGAGTAGAATTCATAAATACCTATTAATATTAGAAAGAACTAAAAAAAAAAAAAAAAAAGAAAGAACATGTGGAAGCCAGCATGGTGGCACATGCCTGTACTGCTAATCACTTAGGAGTTTGAGGTAGGAACATGATAAGCTTGAAGCCACCTTGGGTCATTTAACAAGATCTGTCACACAAACAAAAAAAAGGGATGAGGGGGACTGGGGCTGGGGCTGGGGCTCAGCGGTAGAGCGCTCATATACCATGTGTGAGACCCTGGGTTTGATCCTCAGTACCACATATAAATAAAGGTATTATGTCCAACTAAAAATAATAAATATTTAAAAAAGGGGGGTGGGTGGGGAATGTAGCTTAGAGATGGAGCAACTGTCTACCTAGCATGCAAAATGCCCTGGGTTCAATCTCTAGCATAGAAGAAAGGAGAGGAAAGGTACGGGGGAAAGATGTGTGCGGAACTCTTCCTTAAAATCAGATTGACAACTATATGAATAATAATAGAGCCATTCTTTTTGTTTATTTGTTTGTTTCTCCATTACTGGGGACTGAATCCAGGGGCATTCTACCACTGAACTACATTCCCAGCTTTTATATATATATATATGTATATATATATATATATTTTTTTTTTAGTTCTGCATGGGCACAATATATTTTGTTTATTTATTTTTCCGTGGTGCTGAGAATCGAACCCAGTGCCTCATATATGCAAGGCAAACACTCTGTCACTGAGCCACAACCCAGCCTAACATTCCTGGTTTTTCTGATCTTTTATTTTAAGACAGGGCTTTCACTAAGTTCTAGGGATGGCTTTGAACTTGTGATTGTCTTGCCTCAGTCTCCCAGTCCCTGGGACCATAGTCTTTTGCATTGTACCTAGCAGTCATCCTTTTTTGGAGGAGAAAAGGGGGTGGTATTAGGGATTTAACCCAGGGACACTTTACCGCTGAGCTGCATCCCCAACCCTGGTTTTTATTTTATTCTGAGACAGGTTCTTACTAAGTTGCCCAGAGCCTCACTAAGTTGCTGAAGCTGGCTTTGCACTTGTGATCTTCCTGCCTCAGCCTTCTAATTCACTGGTTTACAAGCAAGTGCCACTACACCTGGTCAGAGTAATTCTTTAAAACATTCTAGAGCTGTTCTTGGTGGTGCATACTGGCGTCCCAGCTATTTGGAAGTAAAAGGTAGGAGGATCACTGAACCTAAGTGTATGAGTCCAGCCTGGACAATAATGCAAGACCCTGTCTCAAAAACAAAAACAAAAAAAAACAAACTTTTTTCTTCCTTTCCATTTACTCTACTCATACAATCAGAATCATGTTTCATAATCACCTCAGTTTTCAATACTCAAATAATTCATTAAAATTATTCTCATCATTCTGTTATGAATTGTATTCTAATTAGCAAAGATTCTACATATCATTCATTCAGTTGTACCTTATACGATAACTTTGAAAAAAATCTTTTTTTTTTTTATTTTTTCCTTTGGTACTAGGAATTGAACCTAGAGGTGCTTTACCACTGAACAACATAGTTTTTTTATTTTGAGACACGGTCTTGCTGAGATGCTTAAGAACTTGCTAAATTGCTAAGACTAGCCTCAAATTGGCAATCCTCCTGCCTCAGTCTTCTGAGTCACTGGGATTATAAGCATGTGTCAACTGTACCTGACCAATGCTAAAATTTTTAAAGGTAGTGAAGTATTGTGGTTATACTGGAATATGTTACTATTAGGAGAGACATACTGATATATATAGAATATCATAACTACAGTTAAAATTAATGTGATAGACTGGGCATGGTGGCACACACCTTTAATCCCAGAGACTCAGGAGGCTGAGGCAGGAGGATTACAGGTTCAAAGTCAGCCACAGGAACTTAGGAAGGCCCTAAGCAACTAAAAAAGACCCTGTCTCAAAATGAAAAATAAAAAGGGTTGAAATAAAATAAATGTGACAGAAAGTTAATAATTGGTGAACTAAGTAGAGCATAGGATTCTTAATTATATTGTTTATTTTTCTAAAGACACTAAAATTTTGAAAATAAAAATACAGATGAGGGCTGCAGATGTGGCTCAGTGGTAGGATGTTTGCCTAGCATGTATGAGGACCTGAGTTCAATCCTAGCATTGCAAAAAACAAACAAAAAAACAGAGGAATACTTTAAAAAAATCTGAATCAAAATTAGACTTATCAGAGCTGAGGATATAGCTCAGTTGGTAGACTGTTTGCCTTGCATGCACAAGGCCCTGGGTTCAATCCCTAGCACCACCACCAAAAAAAAAAAAAAACAGCCTTATCAATAAACCTATGAAAATGGGTTTAGTAGGCCTCAACTCCTAAGTCTTTATTCCTAAGTAGTTATATCTTAAATATGGACTTTTCCACTTGGGAGGGAATCAAACCTCAAAAGCACTTCTATTCATAAAAGCAATCTGAATAGCCATGCATTAGTAGTTTTGGGGGGGTCTAAAAACTACTAATTGAACTAGTAGGGAATTGAATCCAGGGGTGCTTTTCSACTGAGCTATGTCCCCAGACTACTTAAATTTGGGGATAGGGTTGCGCTAATTTGCTGTAGGTGGCCTCAAACTTGCGATTGCTTGTCTTAGCTAGCAAAGTCACCTGGATTATAGATATGCACACTGTGCTAAACTCCACTGAGCCACATCCCCACATTTATTTATTTTTTATTTTGAGTCAGGGTCTTGCTAAGTTGCTTAGGGCTTTGCTAAATTGCCAAGGTTGGCTTTGAACACGCAATTCTCCTGCTTCAACCTCCTGAGCCAAAGAGCATTAGTTTTGACAAAGTTTAAAAACAGAAAACACATTACACTTAGATCAAAAGGGTTAATTTTTTTCCAGTTAACTATGGGACTTACCTATCGATGTCATCATCTCCAGGTAACAAGGGTGGGAGGGGCAGAGGAGGCAACGTGGAAGTTTTCAAGTGTGGAATAGCAGCTGTTACAGTTACTTGAGTCTTCATTGAAACCTGTACAGGGGGCTGAGAATTTGCCTGAGAGGACAGAGTAGATGTCCTTGGATGAGTAGAAGAGGGAAAAGTTGAACTACTAGGAATAGGAACCTGACTAAATGTTGGTTGGGGAGGAGGCAGAGGTGGTTGTTGTGGAATAGTTGGTAGTGGAGGCAAAGGTGGTAAAGGGGGTGTCTGAGGTGGAGGTGTAGTAGTTGGTAAAGGAGGTGGAGGAGAAGTAATTATGGGGAGAGGTGGAAGGGTCTCCTTTTCTGGTGTCTCTGTCTCCTTTGGAGTAACAATCTCCTCTTTCAGTGCTATGGGTTTAGAGTCTCTTGTTCCCTGTGCTTTCAAATCTTTAACAGGATGCTTCTCAGAGTTCTCATCCAACTTTACCTTCCCTGTATCTACAGAATTTTTGACCTCTGTATTTGAATGCGTTACATTCACCAGTTCAGTATCTGGGGCACATTTTTCCAATTTTACACCTCTGGGTAACTTTTTAGACTCCAAGCCTGAATCCTTAGCCTCCACTGAACTGTTCTCTTTCCTAGGTAAAAATATAGGTGAACCCTTTGATTCCTTTCCATCCATTTTTGCTGCAGCTGCAGCAGCTGCTCTCTCCTTCTTTTTTCTACTGAGTTCAGCTCCCAGGCTGGAATTCAGTGGAAGCCTGACCGGTGAGATACTGGAATGACGACTTCGTGACCCAGATCTCTTCTTTTTACTATGAGAAGATGAGTGTCTTGAATATGCAGGACTTCTACTTCTGGACTTCATGGATTTCCTACTGGAAAAGAAAAAGGCAGTTTAAAATGGATAGACTATTGCAATATACTGAAGAAAGCAGATAACCAAAGCTATGGAAAACTTTCACTTTTTTTTCTCTCCTTGGTACCAGGGATTGAACCCAGGGCACTTTACCACTGAACTACATCCCCAGGCCTATTTTATTTTGAGAGAGTCTCACCAAGTCACTAAGAGCCTTGCTAAACTGCCCAGGACCTCAAGCTTGCAATATTCTTATCTCAGCCTCCTGAGTCACTGGGATTACAGGCATGTGTCATGGCACCCARCAGAACTAAAGTATTAAACCCATTTTGAGTAAATCCATCCAAAAATAAATTAGGTATCATCAAAATAAAAGTTTCAGAAACCAGCCCAAATAAAAGGAGCCTAAGAAGACATGGAAATTAAATGTAATATCATGCTTAAGATCCTGGAACAGAAAATGGATATTAGGTAAAGACTGATCTGAATAAATTATTGGACTTCAATTAATAATTATGTTTCCATATTGATTATCTATAACAAAAGTACCACTCTAATATAATGTTAACAACAAGGAAAACTGGATATAGGCGTATATAAAAACTCCCCATAGCACTTTCACAATTTCTTTGTAAATTACTGGACATGATACCACATGCCTATAGTCCCAGAGACTCAGGAGGCTGAGGCAGAAGAATAGCAAATTTAAGGCCAGTCTGGACAACTCAGCAAAACCCTGTTTCAAAATAAAAAGGACTGGGGATGTAGCTCAGTGGTAAAGGACCCCAAAATTCAATCCTGAGTATTAAAACAATGTTTTCTATAAATCTAAAACTATCCTAAAATACAAGGTTCATTTAAAAAAATGGATAAGAGGAACTATGTCCTACAAAAACATATTTGAGTCATACAACACTAAAAATTGTTCGTTATTTAAATGAAGGAAGACAAAACAATACATTTCTTTCCCACATTGGAAAACAAATAAATAGCCATATTCACAAATGCTTACTTTTTTTTTTTAAAAGAGAGAGTGAGAGAGGAGAGAGAGAGAGAGAGAGAGAGAGAGAGAGAGAGAGAGAGA